ACATATATATCTTATCAAGGCTAAAAAAGATATAAATTTCTATATCACTAACAAAGTGTGGTCCAGGTACAAAAAGTGATTATTGAAGTTGGTACCAGCTAAAAAAGACTTACCACTATGTCATGTCACATCAGCCTCTTGGTAAACACATACACACAAAATACTTACAGAAGATATACAAAAAGAAATAATCAAATTATTGCTATGCAAAAAAAACAGCAAATAGAAAGAAATAAGAAAAGAGAAAAAGAGAGACAAAAGAACTATAAGACGCAAGTCAACTAACATATGTCAAAATGACTCTACCTTTCCAGAAATTATTTTAAATAGAAATAGATCAAAAGAATTGTTTAGCAAATCAACAAAAAACAAGAGCCAATGTTTAGCTGTATCTATCCAACTTTAGTACCTATAAATGACTTGTTTTGGATTCAGGGACACAGAAACTGCAAGTAAGACATTGAGCAGTCATTTTTTAAAAGCTGCCTAGTATCTTGATGTATAAATGTATGTACTGTAATTAACAATATATTCCTAAGTTGCTTCTGATTTTTTATCATCATGAAATGGCTCTGGTAAATATCCTTATAATGTCTGTCTTTGTGCTTACATAGAAGTAGGACCAATGTCTTAAAACAGAACTCTTCAAGATCATGCACATCAAATTTTTGGTTGCTAATCACTGAATTGTAAATCTTTTTACACCACACTCCCTATCACAAGAAATCACAGGGGGCTCCTTAAGCCATTAATTATTTAGCAGTGCTTCTCAAAGTATGATTCCTAGATTGCATTAATATCACCTATTATTATTCCCAGATTTGACCCAGATAAAATGAACCATACTCTGAAAGGCCCATCAACCTGTATTGATACTTTCTGGGTGATTTGCATATGCACCAGGGCTTGAAAAACAATGCTCTGGCATGGGCTTTCTAGATCCTTAGATATGTAAGGAGCCTTAAAACAAATGTACCTTAAGAACCTCCACCAGATTGGGTTCATTGATTGCATTAGTCACTTTGTTGCTGGAACAAAATACCCTACACATATGACTTAAAGGAGAACAGGTCTATCTGGACTCAGTTTGCAGTGAGTTTAGTTCATGGTTGGCCAGCTCCAAGGCAGAAATGACATGGTGAGATGGCGTTGGTGAGGATAGCTGTTTATGCCATAGCACCCAGAAAGCAGAGAGAAGGGAAGAGCTAGGGACGGGAAGGATACACCCTTCCTGGTTACTTGCCTAGCAACTTGCCTCTTCCCACTAGGATGACCTCCTAAGAGCACAACCAGCTATGAACTGATGCATTCAGTGCCTGCATACCCCACTCTCTGTTCAAACACAGGGAAACTTTTGGAGGACATGTTAGACCTAACCGGTAACAGTAATAATGATCGTGGTAAATACTAACCATCTTATTTTACCAAGTAGCCTAGAGAAAGGGCATTATTCTTGGAAGTTGAGGAAAGAAGAGTTATTTGTATAATATCTTTTTCCAGACCAACCTGGGAAACAACAGGTGACCTTCCCTGAAATGGTCTTCTGTTTGCTGATTGCAGGTCCCCAGTCTTCAGTGAACATGGATCTGTATGGTGGAGCTGAGCGGCTGTGCAGGGCTTTCTCTGCCCTTGTGGATCAAATCACCTCACCCAACTTGAAGTGAGAAGGATTCCAAGCTGAAAGGCCCCTTCGTATGGTGATAGATGCTTTTCCAGAATCTGAATTAAGTCGGTGTGAATTATGAAGTTTCTTTTAAATTTCCTACTTATGTGTCTCATTTCTTCAATTCAGAGTACAGCCTAAAGGGTGAGGGGTAAGGGAGCCACACAGCCCACTTTAGGTGCTTAGTTTCCATTGAAAAACCTTATTCTCACTTTGAACATTCTAGCAGTAACATTCAAGTGTGTGAGCCACACGAATGCAAGTCTTCTTCTTTGGGTACCATTTAAGTTACTGAGTTGACAGCCTAATTTTATATCTGGATGCTTTGGCTAGAGAACAACCTTGGCAAAGGACAAAAAATATGCAGACATATGTGTGCACACACACATGTGTGTGTACTCATGTATGAAGACTGCACCAATGTCAGTTCTCTCACAGTGGTTTTGTGTTATAGTTATCTGGAATGTTCTTGTTGAGGGAAATTCGATAAAAGGTGAACAGATGTGGTTATATGTATTCTCTCTTATAAGAAGTACCTCAAAACTTTAAAATTATGTCAACATTTCTCTCTAAAACTTAACATCAGGTGAATTTAGCCAGTACACCCTGGGTGCCTATTTGTGTATGTTGGATCAGGTCATAGATACCCAACTGATGTTCAAAGTGATAGCTAACACTTTTTGACTTATTAGAACATTCAGTTTTAAGCACCTTGGGTGTACTAACTTGTTCAGTCCTCACAACAAAGCAAGGAAACAGGCGGCTCCTTATATAAGAGAACTGATGCACAAAGAAGTTTAACAACTTACTTAGAATCATTTGACTGAAACTTAAAGTTGGGGCTTGAACATAGCTCTAGAGCCTATACTCAAATCACTACTTTGTAATTTTTATCAGTAATATTGTTGATTTCATTATTTTTATTTCTTGATTTTTATTTAAATAATCTATATTTTCTAGTGGCATTTACAAAGTGAAAAATATCCTGTTGGATAGGATAACACTAAGTCATCTCTGCTTAACTCATCCTTGTATCTTTAAATTTGCTTTCACACCTGTCATAAATTTTTATTTTAGTTTTCTCATTTAAGATTCACTTTCCTTCTTCCTTTATGCCAGTGTGTTCCATAAATTTGAGAAGTATGGCCTACAGCATGGGTGGGCAAACCACATCATATGGGCTAACCCTTCCCTCCTGCTGCATTTCTTCTACATGAAATATGAGTTAAGAGTGGTTGTTACATTTTTTAATGGTCAGAAAAGACTCATCACACCTGAAAATTGTATTGATTCAAAATTCAATATCCATAAAGGAAGTTTTATTGAAATCCAACTGTGTCCTTGGAGATGTATGTTGTTATAATTTTTTCTTTGTTCTACCCAAGCTGATAAGTTGCAGCAGAGACAGAAGGCCACAAAACCAAGCTGATTATATTTATGACCCAACCCTTGGCAGACATGCTGCCAACTCCTGAGGAGCCAAGAGCAGGCTCCATTTCCCGAGTGTGGTGTCTTCTCAATGATGTATGAGGAGCAATGAGTTTACCAGAAGATTTTAAGGAAGGTGAGGAAAGATATTAGGGAAAATAGCATGAAAGATAAACCATGAGATTATGTAGAAAAAGTGGCCAAAGATGGAAGTCGTTTTAGTGTTCTTATTCATGGAATCAACCAAAACATGAGACAAGGTCTCCTCCCTCAGCTTTTTTCCCCAGGTTTTCTTCACTCATTGTAAGGATTTGGTTAACCTTCTGATGTCTTAAATAATGTCTTATAACTCTTTAGATAACATTTCTAGCTTCAGGAGGACCCCACACCTTCAGTGAAACATTTACTGAGACTTTCTTTTTTATTTAAACCTATAAGAAGCAAGAAAATGGCTAACATATCTGAAATCCAAAATGGCTGTCAATGGGAATAATTAGGAAAAAAAATACATAATGTTTGGAACTCGAAGAAATTTGTTAACTAAACATCACTGCTATGACTCTCCTTCAGGCCTGGTCATTTTTCAGGAAAAAATACTTATCAGCTCTTCTTTTGTAATGTTGCTCATTTTCATCTTATTTTGTTTTTCAATGCAAAGTATAGCTATTATAGAGTTTTAATATTCAATCAAGCAACACATGTGTAATTGGAAAATAGTTTATGCTTGTGCTACTTCATTAGTATGTTGTAATTAGAGGTAACATTATTGAAATAAAGAAACTTCAATAACACTAATTGGGATCCAGAAATTTTATTAATTTTATTTCATTTAAATGAATGTCTTATTCCTCAGGTTTTTACTTTGTTTTATTTGTTGCTTCATTCAGTATTCAAAAAAATATTCTCTCAAATAAGATTTAGTATTACAGGTTATCAGTAACAGGTATTAATATATGTAGCCCCCTTATATACTATTGCATAAGCAATCCAGTGGTTAATAGCTTAGAATTCATGCAGCATTTTCAATGCATTAAATGTATGGCTCTCTAGTTCATCAATGATGTCAGGGTTGCAAAATAAATTATCAAATGAATATCAAGAATTGGGAGTCTCCTAACCCCTAAGTCACCTTTGGACGTTACTTCGTCTGTGTAGACAGTAGGATGGTCTAGCAGTAGTCACATTTGGAAGAAACATGCCTAAAAGAATGAAGCTTTAAATAAGCATTCTTTGAGAACTTGACTTAATATTTATCTCTGGACATTTCCACCATTTAAAATAAATAAAATAGGTATCAGTAGTTAAGAAAAAATATTTATGTGTCTATAATATGATATGCATATATTTACGTCCAAAGCAGAGTTAGTTCAGAGATTAAATTTATTTTCTCTTTATTTCCAGGTTCACTTTTCCAACAAATCTAGACCCAGTCGTGCGTACATGCATACTTATCAAATCTTCAATTAACTCCTTCTTCTTTAGAAAAGGGATTCTTAGGAACTGAGAATATTCACCTGAAAGTAAAGAAAAGGAACTTCATTAGATCATTAAGCTATTTTTAGATTAATAGTAATTTTCAGACTAATCATTAAATTTTTTAAAGAAGAAAATTTTCTGTTTCTGCCACTCTACTATCAAAATTCTATAAATACATTGTAGAGTTAGGTATGTGAATTTGTATTCACAAAAAGTTTTGTGTCCTATGCAATGTAGTTATTTAATCTAAATTGCATAAATTATAAGAAATATTTATTTGCCAATATGCATTAAAATGGTTCTTATTTTAGTAGTTCAAATGATTGTTATATCATTTTAATATAGAAATATAAAGGAAACATTTCAAAATATTCACAGCATAATCCTCCAGAGAAAACCTTAACCTTCTATACATCATTCATACTATGATTTATTAAAACATTACCTACAGTGGGGCATTTAGATTATTTCTAGATTTTCTATTATAGTAAGTGATACTACAATGAACTGTATTTGGTTACACCTCCAAATCTGTTTGTTATTAAACGAATTTTTAGATGGATATTTGCTAAGTATACTGCTTAGGAAATGTATTAGAATAAGTAAAGCAGAAAATAAAGCATTTTGAGACAATTTATTAAAAAATAAGCACTATGAACATTTGCCACCTAGTTAAATATCAACTGCAAACATCATCAGATTATTAATCTAGATTATAATTTCTCATCATAGAGGAAAGACTCACAATTTTTCTAGAACATACAAACTTCCAGGCCCAGTTAAGTAGATTTTTCTCTCCTTAGTGTTAAAGCCAAGAGGCCATTACTATTTTTTCTTTTTTATGTATTTAGTATAAGGTCTATAGGTCTCACTACATAGATCAGACACATAGTGATTCTCCTTTTTTCGGCCTCCCAAGCACTGGGATTAGAAGCGCGCACTACACGCCCAGTCTCAGTCGCCATCTCAGTGCATCCCGGGGGTGGGACCGGCATGGCACTCTGGGGATTGAACCCCAGCCACTGCACTCTACCTAAGCAGGCGCTTTAGTCCACTGAGCTAACTCACTGGCCCTAATTTTTTACACAAACAGGTGTCCTTTAAAATTACTTCATTTGCAACTGTGTCTCTACTACCCTGTAAGTTAACCTGCACTCTCATTACACTCTGAACTCTGTTAGTTTTCTCTCTCTCTCTCTCTCTCTCTCTCTCTCTCTCTCTCTCTCTCTCTCTCTTTTTCCCCAGA